AAAATCAGTGGCCTATGGATACACTGCTTCAGGTTATGGATTCGTCGAAGATATGCCTTATGCTTACATTCATGAGTTCACACGAACTTCTATGGCTGGTAAAATCAGACGCTTTAAGGGTGGGTACATGGGATTCTGGCAAAAGTTAAGCAACTCTCTTCCCATAGAAGTTCAATGCAACACTGAAGTATTGGCTATCAGACGCAATTGCTTAGGCGTGTCTGTTGAGACTAGGAACAGTAGCGGGGAAGTCAAAGTTATGGAATTTGATAAAGTCATTATTTCTGGGGCTTTTCCGTTTACAAATGGGAAAATTTACAGATCACCAACCTATGTTTCAACAGGTAGGTGCATACATGGACCAACACTAGTATATTGATAAAATTTACAGGGTATCTGTATAATATATTGACATTTTATCTGTGTCATACCAGACTAATTTTTTTTTCTATGGCAACTACAGAAACTGACAATGAATTGATGGATTTGAGTGATCTTGAGAAAGAAATGTTCAGTAAGGTGGAGACAGTAGATTACTATACGACTGTGATGAAAATAAAAGGGCTAGATCATTTGCCAATAGGCTTTTATTACTTTGCCGAGTTCATGGATGATCCTGCAACCATCGGCAATCCGGTGGCAATTCAGAGATTCTATGCCGATACAGATATTTATCTTTTTTGGTCTTATGGCAATGCTGTTGATATTAAGGGGCCAAGGGTCAGTGAACTTGCAATTGAAGTTGTTAATAGAATGGGGGGTCAAGTTGAAGATGTAATATTGCAACGACGATTTAAATATTTTCCTCATGTTGCTACTCAAGGTATAATGAAGGAGTTAATAAGCTCATTTGTTGAATCAACCAAAACTTATTAACACCAACACTTGTTTCTTCACATCAAAATACAGATATGAAGGAAGGGTTCTATGACAAAATGGAGACCGAACTTCAAGGTCAACAGAACACTTACTACATAGGCGGACTTGTTGCATTTGAACTCACAGAGAGAAATTCTTCGTACTCTATGAATCTAATTCTCAAGCACTTTGCAAATGATGATCCTTTGCCAAAATTTCCATATGTGAAGGTAAATTACTATTAGGGAAATTCGTGATTTAATGTCGAATCTTGATCAGTTACTTACTGGGTGCTTTTTTCCCTCTTTTGCAGAGATTGTTCCCATTGTTGTCAGATTGTCGGGACAGGAACCCAGAACAATTGGATGAATATCCTGGAGTAACATTCCCTGACTTAAGTAGCCTTGATGGCTATTTGAGACACTGGGGAACTCATGAACTTACTCGAGATAAAACGCTCTACACTTGGATTAATGATGAAGGAGAAGAGGCATGTAAGAGGACATATGGTGAACTTCATGCCAATGCTTCTTTCATTGCTCAGAAGTTGTTGACAAGCTCTAAACCAGTTATCGCTCCGGGTGATAGAGTGGTGTTGCTTCATGTTCCAGGGCTTGATTTTATAGATGCCTTCTTTGGTTGTTTAAGAGCAAGAGTACTCCCTGTTCCAGTTCTTCCTCCTGATCCTCTTCAAAGAGGCGGGCAAGCACTTTTGAAGTTAGAAAATATTGTCAAATCTAGCAATGCAAAGGCAATCTTATCAACTGTGCTTTACCATGGAGCTGTAAGGGCAGGTTCTGTAAAGAACTTGATCTCCTTGACTGGAAAAGGGGGGAATGGTGCTGCAAGGTGGCCTAATCTTCCGTGGATACATACAGATTCTCTTGTGAAGAATGCTAAAGGAATTAACTTAGCAGACAAAAAAACTAATTCTGAACCTAAGGGGGGTGATCTCTGTTTTCTGCAATTTACCTCTGGATCGACTGGTGATGCTAAAGGGGTGATGATAACTCATGGTGGGTTAATTCATAATGTGAAGTTGATGAAAAAGAGATACAAGAGCACATCAAGGACGATATTAGTAAGTTGGCTTCCTCAGTACCATGACATGGGGCTAATTGGGGGACTTTTTACATCTCTTGTTAGTGGTGGATGTGCAATTCTTCTCTCCCCTATGACATTTATCAAGAATCCCCTATTGTGGCTTCAAACTATGAGCAAGTATAAAGCCACACACAGTGCTGGCCCAAATTTCGCATTTGAACTTGTTGTCAGAAGATTAGAGGGTGTCAAGGATAAAGTGTTGGATTATGATCTTTCTTCTATGAAGTTTCTTATGGTTGCTGCAGAACCAGTGAGGCAAAAAACTCTCATGAGTTTTGTTCAGCTTACTGGACCTTTTGGTCTTTCTCAACAGGTAATGGCTCCTGGTTATGGATTAGCTGAAAATTGTGTCTTTGTTTGTTGTGCATATGGAGAAAAGAAACCCATCTTAGTAGATTGGCAAGGAAGGGTATGTTGTGGTTATGTAGGCCTAAATGATGGAGATGTTGACATCAAAATAGTTGACCAAGAAACGGGTTTAGAGCACAATGAGTCTATGAAGGAAGGAGAGATATGGATTAGCAGCCTAAGTGCTGGAATTGGGTACTGGGCAAAGGAAGAGTTGAGTCAGAATACCTTCGAAAATTTGCTTGAAAACCATCCTGGTAAAAGATACACAAGGACTGGGGACTTAGGAAGGATAATAGATGGAAACTTGTTCATCACTGGTAGGATTAAGGATCTTATTATTGTTGGTGGAAGAAATATTTACTCGGCTGATATTGAGAAGACAGTTGAAGGTGCTTCTGAGTTTCTGCGTCCTGGTTGTTGTGCTGTAATTGGGGTCCCAGAGGAAACCTTGTCATCAAAGGGGATATCAGTTCCAGATTCTTCTGATCAAGTTGGCTTGGTTGTGATTGCAGAAGTAAAAGATGGTAAAGCTGTTAGCAAAGAAGTAGTTAAGCAAATTCAGGTCCGGGTTGCAGAAGAACATGGTGTTGCTTTTGCTTCTATTAAGTTGATCAAGCCTCGAACAATCAGTAAAACTACATCTGGAAAGATAAAGAGATTTGAATGCCTTAAGCAGTTTGCTGATGGAACTTTGAATCTTGTTCCGGAACCAATTGTGACCAAGAAAAGGTTGATGCGGTCCTACACTACAGGGACATGCAGGGAAGGGAATACACCTAGACCTGAACTTGTGACGAGTTGTCCATTGCCACCTGGCAGGCTGAGTCAGAAAGAGATTGAAGCTTTTCTGATGGGTATAGTTTCTGAGCAAACTGGAATTTCTATCAACAAGATCTCTACAACTGAGGGACTGACATCTTACGGGATAGACTCAATTGGTGTGGTCAGAGCTGCACAAAAACTTTCAGATTTCCTTGGGGTACCTGTCGGAGCAGTTGATGTATTTACAGCAACGTGCATCGCTGACTTGGCAAGCTTTTCAGAGGATCTTCTTATAAAATCTCAGCCAAATCACGCTACTAATCTTGCTTCCAGTGTTCCAGAATACCAGAATGACAATAGTTTTGATTTGATGATTGAAGTTTCAACACCTCAACAGTTTGGCATATGGGCATTGCAAATTTTAGGACTTGCTTATATGTGCATGATGCTTGCTCTTCCCACTTATCTATCAGTTTCTGTGTTCATGAATTTTATCTCTTCTAGACACTTTCAACCGGGAGCATATTCATGGCTAGGGTATGCCTTTTCTTTATTGGTTGCTCCTATCACTTGGATCTTCTGCATATTCACAACTTGCTTATCTGTAGCATTCTTTGGTAAAACATTCCTTCAACCAAATTACGCTCTGACCCCTGAGGTTTCCATATGGTCTATAGATTTTGTAAAGTGGTGGACGCTTTACAAGGCCCAAGAAATTTCTTCCAAGGTCATGGCAATTCATTTGAGGGGGACAGTGTTTCTGAAATACTGGTTCGAGTTGTTTGGAGCAAGAATTGGTTCATCAGTATTGCTAGATACAATTGACATTACAGACCCATCTTTGGTTTTTATTGGAGACCAAGCTGTGATTGCAGAAGGAGCACTGATTCAAGGACATGAAGTAAGAAGTGGAGTTTTGAGTTTTCTGCCAATTAGGATTGGCCAAAGATGTGAAGTTGGTCCTTATGCTGTGATCCAGAAAGGAAGTATTTTGGGAGATGAGGCTAAGGTAGCAGCTTTACAGAAAACGGAAACTGGAAAGCTTGTTCTCAGATCAGGCAGGCGCAACAATGTCCAAAAGGTAACCTTTAATTTTTATACTTCTTAATACTCCAATTCTTTTCGGTACAAAAACTAATGACGCTTTATATTTCATTTGGTCTCAGGATGCAGCAAAAGATGCTCAAACTGAGGCCATCTATCACCTAATGGGTATTTATATGGTCGGGTTTGTCAGTTCTCTCTCAGCAGCAATAGCTTACTTCCTTTACATCAGTTTATATCAAGAGTCGCCATCCCTTAAACAGTTTTCATTTCTCTGTGTTGCTGGAACGATCCACTGGCTTCCTCTTACCATCATCGCATATGCTACTATGATGTTTACTACCTCGATGCACCCACTGACCTTTGCCACATCAGTTGCCATCGGTTACCTTGCTCATGGCTTGATACTCAGCTTCCTAACTTGCATCATGACACAGTTCCTTGATAAAGAAGATCAAACAAAGGAAAGTCCATTTAAAATATGGCTTCGTCACAGAATTACCATTGCTTGCCATCTTAGATTTGCCAAATTCCTTTCTGGAACTGAAGCCTTCTGCTTGTATTTGAGGCTGCTAGGTGCAAAGGTTGGAAACTATTGTTCGATAAGAGCCATTAACCCAGTTTCTGACCCAAGGCTGATTTCAATTGGTTCAGGTGTTCATTTGGGTGATTTTAGCAGGATCATTGCTGGTTTTTATTCGATAAACGGGTTTAAAAGTGGGAAAGTCGAAGTCCAGGATAATGCAGTAATAGGGAGTCAAAGCATTCTGCTTCCTGGTTCAGTTGTTCAAAAAGACGTTATTCTTGGCGCTCTTTCAGTGGCTCCAATTGATTCAGTTCTCAAAAGGGGTGGTGTCTACATTGGGTCTGAAACACCTATCATGATAAAGAACATCATGCACGCTCTAGATGAGCGTATAGAAGAGATGGATGTGAAATACAAGAAGATTGTTGGGAACTTAGCTGCTAATCTTGCTGCCACAACTCTTAAGGTTAAGTCGAGATATTTCCATCGAATAGGGGTCAGTGGGAAGGGAGTTTTGAAGATATATGATAACATCAAAGGGCTGCCTAATCACAAGATCTTCTACCCTGGGAAGAGTTACCCTATCATCATCAGACACAGTAATAGCTTAAGTGCAGATGATGATGCAAGAATTGATGCTCGTGGTGCAGCTGTGAGAATACTATCGAGCGAAACTGGAACCCCAATCCTTGATCTGACTTTGAAAACAGGAAATGCATTCTATGCAAGAACGATCTCTGATTTTGCAACATGGCTCGTTTGTGGGTTACCGGCAAGGGAGCAGCATGTGAAGCGGGTCCCCCATGTGCGTGATGCCGTATGGACATCACTTCGCAACACAGATTCATTCACTAATCTGCATTACTTTTCAAACATATGCAGGCTTTTCCGGTTCGAAGATGGAAATGAAATGTATGTAAAATTCAAGTTGAGACCTTTTGATGAGAACATCACTGAAGAATCTGGCAAGGTTGATCCCATCGGAATTCTTCCTCCAGAGACCGGTGCAATTCCAAGAGACAGTAACGACAAACGACCACTGCTTTTCCTTGCTGAGGATTTTCAACGTCGTACGAGTCAACCAGGTGGGGTTCGGTATATATTTCAGTTACAGTTCCGAGCTGTACCTAAGGATGAAATCACCCAAGACATTGCACTTGACTGCACAAATCCATGGGATGAGACCGAATTCCCCTATATCGATTTGGGAGAGATAACAATCGACCAAAATAACACCAAAGAACAGACTGAGGATTTGGAGTTCAATCCTTTCCTGAGATGCAACGAAGTGGATGTAATTCGTGCTACTTCTGCCTCACAGAGTGCTTCCATTGATCACGGTCGTTCATTGATATACGAGATATGCCAACATTTGAGAAACGGACAACCACTTCCGGAGGCCTGGAGGAGTTTCATAGAGCAATCTGATGTCAAAGTTGACCTTTCAGGTTGTGCCATGGCTACAACAGCAACAATGGAGAACAAGAATTCAAACGAACTGACTCTCGCAAGAACCTGGTATCAAACATCATGGACACTATTTGGCCAACCTTTGTTACAAACATTCTTGCCGTATTACCTAATGGCATTAATCATTTATGGTCCTCTAAACTTGATGTTTTACGTTAAAGAAACAACAGGATACCCGATTCAGTGGCTGCTGCCTGTGTTCTGGGTGTGTTCGGGGCTCTGTTCTGGACTAGCATGTGTTGTGGGCAAATGGGTACTAGTCGGAAAGAAGAAAGATGGCGGAAGTGTGCTGATTTGGGGCAAAGAAGTGTTCATGGACACGATATGGCAAGCATTTAGGACATTGGTTGGAGACTACTTTATGGAAATGGTTAGCGGGTCGTTCTTGTTTACAATGTGGATGAAATTGATGGGATCAGAGATTGATTTGAACCAGGGGGTGTATGTGGACAGCATGGGGGCGGTGTTGAACCCCGAGATGGTGGAGATGGAAGGCGGCGGATGTGTGGGGAGGGAAGCTTTGCTGTTTGGTCATATATATGAAGGAGATGGTGGGAAGGTGAAGTTTGGGAAGATTAGAATTGGAGAAGATGGGTTTGTAGGAAGTAGAGGTGTTGTTATGCCTGGAGTGAGGGTGGAGAATGGGGGTAGTCTCGGTGCACTCTCACTTGCATTCAAAGGAGAAATCATCAAGTCAAAATAGTTTTATATATATATATATATATATATGCTTCTGAATGTTGTTCTATATGCGATGCATGACACTTGCATCCTTTTTACTATCAAATAAAGCATTCCGGAATTGCAAAATTAATAGAAAATTGTTTCTATCTTTCCTATATCTTCTTGTTATATTTTTAGGGTCAAGAGAGAAGGTAAATTTTGTTGGTTGGGGACAATTTGTTATCCTACTGAGTTCTTCATGACATATGGTTTGTGATATTGCCTTCATTTGCATACTGAGCAAAGTTGCATCAAAAGACGGAAGTCTGAAATCTAATCTAACTCTTAACAGAGTTCAGTTAAATAATTTGATGACAATCAGAATTTACCGAACCTTCGTTGGATAGATCCACATCAAAGATTCAATTTTTTGGAAGTTGTCCATAGCTTGCAATAAGCTGGTTAATACACAGGTTGTAAGGGTGACAAATCCATGTTTGGTTGAGACTAATTTTCGAGCATTTATTTTAGGATCCTCTATAATCTTATTTATTGGTGTAAATGTCTGGTTTTGTTTATCTATATTTATATGTTACACTATCGCATTTTGATAATTTACAAATTGGACCGTGTATCTAGTCTTGGTTGTTGGACGTCCATGTTCTTTTGGTCGACCCTTAAATCGTGTTGGTTTAGGGGTTGTTTACCAAACTCTAACGATGAGCATGATAATTACGCATGGTAACGGTGCGTGTAATGCAATTTCCGGCCCCGTTTCCACTATTTCATCCCCGTCACTGGTAGATACGGGAAACCGAATCCCCTCTCCGGTTTTTGTTGGCCTATCCTTAGTCACCCCCGGTTTATCTCCGATCAAAATCCCGATTCAACAATTAATGGTTCAAAAAAATGCTCAAAATGAGTTTAAAAAAAATATAACATAGTATATAACACATTAAAAAATATATAATTTTAATTAATGTATATACATACGGGGATGGGGCGGGTTGGGAAAGTATTACCTGGCCCCGGTTTTCAATATGTAGGGGATCCCCGACTCCGATACTTGTGTTTACGGGGAATCTCTCTGTCCCCGAATAGCATGGGGGTAAATCACCATGCCTAATGATAATGATTAAAAAGCTTATTTGAATTAATTTTGATAATGTTTTTAATTGTTGAATTAAAATAGATGAATGAACAGTAACAAGGATTAGGTATATTTAATGTTAAGGACCCATATCGGGGTTATAGTGCTACAAAGTCTCTGGACTAAAATAAAAATAGATTATTTGTGGCTTTTCTACATGATGCTCGACTTTGACTTAGCCCACACCAATTTTTTCTCGAGCCTTATCATTTAGTCAAACAAAAGGTAATTATTATGTTTATTGTTATTATAAATAAACATATTTTCACTATTATATATATTCAAAAAAACGTTGTAGTATCTTAAAGTTTATCCAATTAAGATGTTTATGTTATAAAAGATGTTAAAGTCTAAAGTCTTATTTTACTTTTTATTGATAAGGGTTGGTGCTGAAGTTTGAAAATGAAATCAAAAAGAGTGTTCGTTTTTTGTAATTTGATATATGTCTGAATGTGTGTAACTGTGTAATTGCCTATTTTACCCCTGTGGATACTATAACGTTGAGTTTTTATACATACATACATACATATATATAGAGAGAGAGAGTTGTAAACCAAGGGACGAAGAAGAGAGCGACACGTGTCTCCGACGTCTACATTCAATATGAATAACGAAGGTGAAATTCATGAACTATTAATGATGAATAACATATAATCATGATCCATATTAAATCGATTCATTATGAATAACTCGTGGATGCAGGGGACCTCTCATTTGTTCTTCAGTTTACAATCGAAACTTGGTTCTCATTTGAACTCATCTCTAAATATAGGCCAAGATTAATTTGCAACCTATGTAAATCTTAAAACTTTTGCATCCCCATCTTAACCATTGGATCAATGATAAACAATTATTTTGCTTTTTTTAATTAAAAATATTGGGTCTGTATCTTCTTAATTAATTAATTAATTAAACGTAATGATATCAATTAAAAATAATTAATTCTTAAGTAAATTATGGAATTAGTTATTCGGTAATTAATTAAAAATAATCATATCAATAATGAAATAACAAGCAAAGACAGTTGCCATAAAATTTACTATTACTAGTAATCAACTGGTAAATTGGTGTTGGGGTTCTTGATCAACAAAGGAGCTTGAAGCAAGTCTTCCATGGCTGCCACAGAAGAACCTTTGAAACCTTCTTCATCTCTTGTTGCCGCTTCAATAATCTTTTTTATTTCAAATGCTTTCTTCCTCATCTCCTTCCCTTTTCCAGTTTCACTCATCACTTCCTCTATCTTCTCCCTTAAATCCTCACTCCTCACCTCAAAATCATTCCCTCTAGCCACCTCCACACATACCTCTGCAACCTCCACCAACATCTTCGAATTATAGAACTGCTCCGCCGCCAACGGCCACCCCAGTAACGGCAGTCCGCAGCTGAGAGATTCCAGCACCGAATTCCACCCACAGTGGCCCAAAAATGCTCCTACAGATTTGTGTGACAGGATCTCCACCTGGGCTACCCATTTTTCTACGATAACTCCTCTCTTTTCCTTCTCCATTTGTTTCTTGAAGTTTTCCGGCAGCCACTCCTCTGCTCTGAACTTGCGGCTTAGGTCGAATCCTAGCGGCGGCCGGATTACCCAAATGAAGCTTTTCTTACTTTTATCTAATGCTTTGGCGAGTTGTATCATCTGGGATGCACTTATGGTGCTCTGTGATCCGAAAGAGATGTATAAAACAGAGGATGGTGGCTTTGAGTTCAGAAATTGTAGGCATGATTCTGTATGGATTCCACCATTTTTTCCGGTCTGAGCTCGACCAAATACAGGTAAGTTAATTGGGCCAATTGCCCAAACTGGTCGACGAAATCTTCTTCTGAAGTACGATAAACCGACTTTGTCAAACTCTTCCACTGTATTAAACAAAAACCCATCGGCATTATCCCATGTTGGGAGGTTCTTTATTTGGAATTTCGACCAAGGGTCATTCCCGGTGGCCGCTACAAGGCTTGGTGTCAACTGGGACACCTGCAGTTTACCAGCTTCTTGAAAATCCGGTAAAAAGAACTCACCGGAATCAGAATTTTTGTGAGGTAGATTGATCCAAGCAGAGTAGTAACACGCTAGTCCAAACCCACCGGCTCCACCATAGATGACATGGAAGATTCCGAACTCATGTGAGACGGCGGCGGCCCAGCCAAAGAAAAAGTCGGCCACCACAAAAAGCGGGGGAGCTCCGGCGTCAACGAATCCCTTGAGAATGTTTGTGAAGGCGGGTTTGAGAGAGGTGGAAGCGAGAAGGAGGTCGTACATACGGCTGGGTGGGAGTGAATCGGTGTTCTCAGAGTGAGGAGGAAGGCCATGATCGGAGGAGTTGAAGGGGATCTCAAGGAGGCGAATAGCGGAGGAGGGAGGAAGAAGACGGCGGAGATTGGCGATGTTAAGAGGGGTGTTAACGAAGGTGATTTGGTAACCTTTTTGTTGGAGTTGAAGAGATAAAGCAAAGAAAGGGATAATATGGCCTTGTGCCATGAAAGGGAAGATGAGGACGTTGTTGGAAGCCTCCATTATTGATTTGATTGATGGGAGGAGGAGGAAGGGAGTGGTTGATGCATAGAAACATGTTAGTCTCTCTTTATTTGTAGAAATAAATACAAAGAAAGAGACATGAGGGGGCCATTGACCATTCAAATCTTCTCTTTGTTCACATTTCAATTCATATATTTCTTCCACGAATCGTTCGATCTCACTTTTGGTCAAAACAAAAATGTTTTAAATTTTAACACTATTATAAAATAACTAAAAAAAAACAATAATAAAATAGAGAGAAGTAGTATGTAATATCTTATAAATCATAAGTAATTTTTATAAAGATGAGTTACAAGTAAATAATCACGAGATATTTTATTTCTAATCAAACTCTGATATCATCATATCTTTTAGACGGTGACACATTTATCCTACACACTTTCCCTTGTGATGAGTCGAATGAGTGATGTGCACAACTGTTGTCTCATTTACGCCAAAATAAAAACACAGTGGAAAAAAATAAAATTAGAACTAAGGAAAGAGTACAACGCACAAATTTATTTGCAATACATAGGCTTTTCCTTTTAGTCTAATATTCTTTCAGATTTGTACATTAATCATGAAGCAATATGGTATATAAATTGTTATCTCATTAAAACTTTACACCAATGAACAAAACCTAATGGGAAAAATAAAACCTTAGGTGAAGGAAATAGCATAACATACCAATATCACATGTGTCGATGTATATTTTGCAAGAGATGGATCATTATGTCATGACCATTGTGTCCCACATGGTCTTATTGAAACATATATGTATAATTGTCTCAAAATTCTTTATTGACGATAAAATATGATTCAATGACTTAAATAATCCACTAGTTTGACACGTTTATTTCTCTGATATATGTTCCGTTCATATCATTAGAGTTAATGTACATATACCTGTCATTCTCATAATATCATTTCCAGTTGGTACAAATATCTTAACAATGTTCATATTAATATAGTGTTTTAGTGACTATTAATCTATAATAACAAGAAAATGGCAATCCATCGTCTAAATACTATGGTGGGAGGAATTATAAAGTAAATATTCGTTTATCTTTTAAGCTTGTATGGGAGGTCCGATGAAAACACTCAAGTTCTCCTCGATACATTTCTACACAGAATGGAGAATTTTGAGAGTTTTATATTTGTTTTCGTGTATTTATTTGCATCTATAATGGTTATATATCCAGTTTTACATCAACAAATAAATTTAATTTAATACTTAAAATAAATTTCAAATAAACTTATGCTCAATCACTCTTAGATTAATATGATATAGTTCATTTTCAACTTGTTTTTTTTATATGAGCAATTATTAGTACATTTTTTTTATTGTCCATTATCATATGGAAATTAGTTGCATCTCTGTTTTAAGGATTGGAAATTCTTCTCGACTCTTGCCATGACCCTAATCCTTCCACGGTCTCGTCCACATGGTGTATAGATGTCACATGTAAAAGATGTCTTTAACTCACTATCCTTTGGAGTTGCTTTCACCTCTAACACTTTCATTATTGACGTTGGGAATTTCCTTAGTCCCAACATGTCTAGCGTTGTTATTCGAATGAACCTTGTTATATCTCTCAACTACTTGCAGTAGATTGATGAGTTTATCTAAAGGTTATATTCCAGTTTATATTAGTTCATTAATATTTACTGATTTATGAAAGGTGAAAATAATGTTATACATCATGCCATTTTTCGAGTTGCTTGTCACAAAGATTGAGACGCTTTTGGAGATAACATTTCTTTGTTGAAAATCAATTACCTTCTTGTAGTCGAGTAAATGGGTTTCATTCCACTGTATAATTAGTTTGGAAAGTACATGTTTATGAATATTCTTGATTCTTCCTTTCACCACAATCTTGGGAGATTCTAGTTAATGTTATTACCTATGAAGATTGTGACTGATGTGCAGTCTCAAAAATCTCAAGGTATTTACTTGTACATTAACAATTGATTTTTAGGGCCAATAAATTTTGATGGGTTTTAGGTATATTATTGTACTTTTCCGACAAAATTAATCTTTTCATTGGATATTCATCTATGGTACTCGAGTTCTTTTGAGTTTAGGACATTGAATCTCGAATGAATTGTTCAACCCTTTACATAAATAAGGGATAATACATGAACCTTTTTTGTTCACAAGAAGAAAAAGTATGATGTACGTGAAATTTCATTATCATAACAATATTGGATTTTTGTATGTTTACGTTTTATTGATAATACTTCATCAATATTTTAGTTTGTTAGAGAAATCACTCAATATCTTGGATTTCCAGGTAGTAGGGGAATCACATGGATTTCTTAAGTCCCTACAAATCTTAGTGCTATTTACACATGTTTGACAAAATTCTTTTGATATTGTGTGATTTATTTAATTTTGAAGATAACATTACTAATTATAGAGCTTTTGGCATGAAACCGAAAAGAATACGAGTTTGGCATATGAAGTCAACTTTAATGTTTTAATACATTAATGATATTTAAGAGATTTTGTCATCAAACAAATAAATATTAGTTTCGACATAAAATAAAATTCAATCTTTTAACATCTTAATAGTATTGTTAGGATTTTTGGTAAAAGAATAAAATATATGAGAGTTAGAAATGTAACTTCCAGATATTGATTCTAAGACTGAAAATTATGAGTAGAAACTCATAATCAAGATAAAATTCAAATACTACATTAAGTAGGGTAATTTGTTATAAAAAAAAAACTAAAAACACAACTAAATGAATACAAAATTGAATAAGATAATCAAGTGTATCGATACTCGTTTTATAAATCTATTAAACGAGGTAAAAAATAATAAAATCAAAGATATAAAATACAATAATAAGTCTCAAAATAATTAATCTAGTATTCACAATATTCCTCATTACACAATTTACTTCTTTTTTTTAAACTACGAGGGTGTTTGAGATTGCTTATAGAAATAACTTATTGACTTATTCATATAGTACCGATAATAAGCATATTTGAGTGTTTGGATAAACAACTTATACCGGTGTCAAACCGGTAATAAAGAGTTTTTGAAGAAGTTAAAGCATTCTAACTTATAATAAGTTGATAAAGAGTTTTGTAGAAAAACATAAGTTGTTTCAAATAATCAATCTCAAACAACTCCAAAAACCTACGAACAAAAATAAAAGAAATCTGCAACCTTCACATTAAAGATATGCATTAATTACTTGATATTATTATTTTCAATATATATCCATAAATAAATAAACAATTTCAATCAATATCGTTTACAATATTTTAAATAAACTCAAGTATAACTTAGGGTCGTTTACCAAATACTTACCCGGGTAAGTGTTTACCAAGTCATATTATCTTACCGGATGGATATGGTAAGGATCAAAAATCTTACCCGGTAAGAGCGAGACAAAGACTAAATCTTACTCGGTAAATGAAGACAACGACTCTTACCACGGTAAGCACTTACCAGGTAAATTGTTGCATACGATGTCGTTTTTGTGGACTAAAATCTTACTTGATAAGTAAATAATAATGTTAAATTTTATCGGTAAGCACTTACCAGATAAGTGTTTGGTAAACGGCCCCTTAGTTGGTTTAATAAAATATAACTTTTTATTAGATAAAATACAAGTTAACATATGAATGTATTTATATTCAAATACTTACATCGGTTCAAAAAATTATCAAGTCATGTTGGTGATGATTGTTATAACTCATCTACAAAAGAATCGTTATCAGTTCATGAAATATGGAAAATAAACAAATGATGGGGCATGATGGTAACCACGGTTCAAGTAGGCGATTAACGTTCGTGCTGATAACGTGTTATAGAAGCAATATCTCATTAATCATAAGCCCTTTTTATAAGGATGTGTTACAAGTAGATAATTATAAAATATTTCATTTCTAATCTAATTCTGATATATCTATCTATATCGTCATATTCTTTATACGATGGCACACTTATTATACGACAAACTCTCTATTTTTAATTTAGTTTAGTCCAAAAAATAAATTTTACATTCAGATTTATCATAAAAAAATTAAGTGTTTATTAAAAAAATTAATAAACAAAAGACCACATTACCCTTCATTTAACTAGAATCAATACAAAAACTACTTCAGTCGATGAAAGAGACAATCAGACAAACAATGGATTATATATATTGGGGACAAATTTGTAATAAATGAAAATTAAGGACTGGTTCATTAGAAATTACATATTTTAGAAACCGAAATTTACTCCAAGATAAATAATAATAATAATAATAATAATAATAATAATTATTATTATTATTATTATTATTATTATTATTATTATTATTATTATTTTTATTATTATTATCTAGAAGTGATTGCAATCCGGGTATCTTCGATTTCTATACATATGTGTGTGCATTGATGGGTGAGTGTATCTATTATTTATTCATCAAGAGGTCGTTTATCAAACGCTTATTCAGGTAAGCTTTTATCAAGTCACACTATCTTATCGAATAAAGATGGTAAGGAGCAAGAATCTTATTCGGTAAGAGCGAGAAAAAACCAAGAGTCTTACCCGGTAAGTGATGACGACAACTCTTACTACAGTAAGCGCTTACCGGGTAAATTGTTTCATACGATGTCGTTTTGGTGGACTAAAATCTTACCCGCTAAATAAAAAATATTGTTAAATTTTACCGATAAGCACTTACTAAGTAAGTGTTTGGTAAACGGCCCCTAAGACTCTTCAACCTGCTCGGTAGACTGAGAAATTATAACTCGTATGATTATTTTACAAAAAGCTTGTTATTGAAATCTAATTGATCCCAACCTACGTATTGAACCTAGAAAGGTTGGGTTTTCAAGACCCGACACAGGCACAAGCTAATCTTGGGCTCCATATAAAATCAAACGAAAGGATTCCATGTGTGCATGGATGAATATAACATCAACCTCAACTCCAAGTATATTGATCAGCGTCAAGATCTTATCAAATCGAAAGATCAAGAACATATTTTATCACATAATTCATCAACAAAGCAAAACGAATATGGCTCTCAAATATCAAATTTAATTCAACAATGAAGTTATAGCGATAGTACCTCGTAGATCAACAGTTGTGCAAATCAAAAACAAACAAAAAAACTGAAATAAATGAATCAAATTATTCATAACGAAAATATGAAGATTGTTTGAAAATAATTAAATATAGTGTTGATTTTAAAAATTAAATAGATTAAATGTAATAAAAAAAAATTCAATAGGGGTTAAAACTGTAACATATTCAAGCCGAAAACATTATGGATTATTCTTGTCAAATATTTTCTAGAACAGGGACCAGAACTGCCAAAAACAAAAACCCTTTTTAAAATCTGAATTTGGAAAACATTTCAATAACAGGGGCTGTACTGTAAATAAAAAAACTGGAGGGTCCTAAGTGAAGAAGAGCGGAAACTTATCATCTTCTTCACTCACCCGGTTACCACCCCAAACCCGATTTGTCTATCGAGCGAAATGAAATATATTTAACAGGTGTGTTTGAAATATCGTATGATAATAGGATCATAAGACGAGAACCAAGAACTAATCAGAACCCTTGATATTTTTAATCTCACTCCTATCTCTTTAATTGTGTTTATTACATAATTGATTTGCTAATTCACGAATTAATGTTGATCTGTAATTAGGATTAATGGTGTAAAATGAAATGTAATGAGCAAATGCTCTAAGTATTTGGTAATTAATTAAAAATAGTCATATTAATAATGAAAAAACAAAGTTTTATATTATACTGTTTTCTTGTGAATGCACTTGTATGCTTAACAACCAAAGACACTTGCCATAAAATTTACTAGTAATTATCTGGTAAATTGGTGGCGAGGTTCTTGATCAACAATGGAGCTTGAAGGAAGTCTTCCATGGCTGCCACAGAAGACCCTTTGAAACCTTCTTCATCGCTTGTTGCTTCTTCAATAATCTTCTTTATTTCAAATGCTTTCTTCCTCATCTCCTTCCCATTTCCAGTTTCACTCATCACTTCCTCTATCTTCTCCCTTAGATCCTCACTCCTCACCTCAAAATCAGTCCCTCTAGCCACCTCCACACATACCTCTGCAATCTCCACCATCATCTTCGCATTATAGAACTGCTCCGCCGCCAACGGCCACCCCAGTATCGGAACTCCACGGCTGAGCGATTCCATCACCGAGTTCCACCCACAGTGGCTCATAAACCCTCCTACAGATTTATGTGACAGGATCTCCACCTGGGCTGCCCATTTTTCTATGATAACTCCTCTGTTTTCGTTCTCCATCTGGTTCTTGAAGTTTTCTGGCAGCCACTCCTCTGCTCTGAAATCGGCGTTTATGTTGAATTCCAGCGGCGGTCGGACCACCCAAATGAAGCTTTTCTTGCTTTTATCTAATGCTTTGGCGAGTTGCATCATCTGCGATGCACTGATGGTGTTTTGTGATCCGAAAGAAATGTATAAAACAGAGGATGGTGGCTTTGAGTTCAGAAAGTGCAGGCATGATTCTGTATCGATTCCACCACTTTTCCCGGCCCGAGGTCGACCATTTAAAGGTAGGTTAATTGGCCCAATTGCCCACACTGGTCGACGAAATTTTCTTCTGAAGTACGATAAGCCGACTTTGTCGAGCTCTTCAATTGTGTTAAACAAAAACCCATCGGCATTAGCCCATGCTGTAAGGTTCTTTATTTGGAATTTCGACAAAGGGTCATCGTCGGTGGCCTTAACAAGGCTTGGAGTTAACTGGGTCACCTGCAGTTTACCGGCTTCTTGAAAATCCGGCAAAACGAACTCACCGGAATCAGAATTTTGGTGAGGTAGATTGATCCAAGCAGAGTAGTAACAGGCTAATCCAAACCCACCAGATCCACTAAAGATGACATGGAAGATTCCAAACTCATGTGAGACCGCCGCCGACCACCCAAAGAAAAAGTCGGCCACCACACAAAGTGGGGGAGCTCCGGCGTCAAGGAATCCCTTGAGAATGTTTGTGAAGGCGGGTTTGAGAGAGGTGGAAGCGACAAGGAGGTCGTAGATACGGTTGGGTGGGAGTGAATCGGTGTTCTCAGAGTGAGGAGGAAGGCCATGATCGGAGGAGTTGAAGGGGATCTCAAGGAGGCGAATAGCGGAGGAGGGAGGAAGAAGACGGCGGAGATTGGCGATGTTAAGAGGGGTGTTGAGGAAGGTGATTTGGTAGCCTTTTTGTTGGAGTTGAAGAGATAAAGCAAAGAAAGGGATAATATGACCTTGTGCCATGAAAGGAAACATGAGAATGTTGTTGGAAGCCTCCATTGTTGATTAAGGAGGAAGAGGAAGAGGAAGAGGAAGAGGAAGAGTAAACACGATTCTTGGTTTATGCTTTGATGTTTATTTCAAACATAAATGACAGCCACCCGACGTCACACCCTACCCCAATCCCAATATATGGAAACAACATTTACCTTACCTAGTACATACCTAGGATTTTGTCTTGAATTTGGATTATGGTGTCTTTATTTAGGTATCTTTATTTTTCCAATCATTGCACCTTCAAATGACACTAAACCACATTTTTTTGGTTTTACACCAACCATACCTAAAGGGGAGTGTTAATGGCATATCTAATAGGGTGTTGAATATTTGAGAATTGTGTCATCTTTAGAACCTATGAAATATTAAATCGATTTAATAATATATTATATTTAATTATTATTATTTAATATATATATATCAATTAAGTTATATTTATATAATTATATATATACCCTCTACATATACTTTACATACATATATTATATAATATTTTTTATTTATATTATTATTATAATTTTTTTTATCTTCACTTATATATTATATATATATATGCACACAGACACATATATATATATATATATTTACTATTATATTACATAATATATATCAATATTAAAGTATTATTGTAATTATTTTAAAAACTTAAAATAGTTTAATCTAAAAGTTGATTTTTATGATTAATTAGTTATTTTTAATTGATCAGCTATTTATATAAACCATTTATATTAAATTTAATTAAGAAAAAAATTCAGAAAATTAAAGAAATTGTTCCATTTTGAATTATTATGTTTTTAAACTTTTTTTTCATTGAATAAGTTGTTTAATTCTTTTTATGTTGAATGATTAAATTGTTGCATTTTTTTGAATAATTAAATGATTAAGCTTTTTAGAAAATTGGTTACTTAAATTATTTTAACCTTTTTAAAATTGTATAATTTAAAAGTTATTTTTATAAAATGACCTGAAAATTGTAATCATTTTTACAGAAAATAGTATTTCAAATTTCTTGGATTATTTTAATATTTTTAAAATAATGTACTTACAAGATTGTAAAGAAAATAAAATAAAAGAATTAATATGTGCAACTCACTGAGTCATGGTTATTTACAAAAAAAATCATCTTTACATATATTTTTTAATAAATAAATCATCGAACTTTTAAAAATTGATTATTTCGATCATTTCAACCGAAAAATACTGCATATCATGGCTTGCTTACCTTACAGGTCAAATAAGTGGAAAAACGATTTTTAAATTACGTTTTTCCCGATTTTTAATATATTCAAATAGTTATTAAATAAATCTTTTTATAATATGTAAAAATATGATATTATTATATTGAATTTACATGTAGTTTGATAATATAAAAAAGGTTGTTTTTTAATAAATAATTATTAAAAGATAACTTTTTGACTGCCGAATTTGGAGTATCTTACTTTCACTACGTTTTTAAGTATCATTTTAATATATATATATATATATATATATATCTTAAAATAATTATTAAAAAAATTTAACGTCTTTTAAGAAAAAATATTTAAAAAAAATAAAACATATAATATTTTTTATAGAAATTATGATAAAAATAATATTTTTTAGTAATAATTTTTTAGAGAATAACAAATAATATTTGTAATAGTATTATATTTATAATTAAATAAAATAAGTAAAAAAAATTAGTATAAAAAAAAAAGATAACAAAAAAACAAAATCACAAAAAAATAATTATATTAAAGAATAGGGGTGCCATAAATAAAAAAGTAAAGATGCCATTAACCTTTCCCCACCCAAAATGGTGGGTCTGTCTTTGAGCACGTACAATTGTCAGCAAAGAAACTCAGGAGGGGGTGGGCCTTTTTTATTTTATAATACTCATATAATATCTATTTTCTGAACTTCATTAAACATTTTAAATGGTAGAAAGACTACATTACACCTCATATTTAACTAGAATCAACCTAAGAATTTACCATTTACTAGTGTGACAGACCAAAGATAGTAGATTTTGCATATATCATGGAAGATTATAGTCTAGTTCTATCAAAAATGATATATGTTCATGCATTGTTGGTGGGTGGTGGGTGCATGTTTTATTCATCAAGGCTGTACGACTCGTTAAATTGGGAAATTATCTCTTGTACAATTATTTCACAAAAAGCTAGGCATCTAAATCTAAATCTAAATCAACCCGACCTACATAATGAACTTAGAAAGGTCAGGCTTTCAAGAACCGAACATAGGCACACTATAATCCTTTGTGCCTAATACTTCCCAATTTTTCATTCTTGTACCAGCCAAGGACCGATCCCCATCAAAAGGGACCCAAATTCCAACCATTTTACTTGTATGAAACCTCATATCCACAACATTCATTCCCAAGGATTCGATTAAAATACAATACATTATTCATTCTATATATCCTAAATACGAAGCATTTCACTTTTAGAGTTGGATTCTACAGAGAATGGAAGTTATGGTTTGAAAGGTAAGAAGGGAGCTTCACCCTTTGATCAATCTCATTGAAGATCAACACTAATACAATGCAAGATACACCGGATCCATTCCCGTGATAAGCGCAATTTATGGGATGGATGTGAGATTAAAAGTGATCAAAGGTCCAGATCCCTTCTTAAGCTTCTCATCTTTAACTCTTATTCTCACAGGACCTCCATTTTCACTTTCTAACTATGAGGCATCCAGATTACTAGATTATTCTAAGAAATTCTCAACCATTTAAACAAGGAAAACATTTTTATTTACTTCAAAACGTTATCATTCCTCTATTTTAACTCTCAGCAGCATCAACATCATCTTCATTCTTGTATGAAATATGTTTTTGAGAAATCATCAGTAAAGATGCTCCCTAAAACAAACACCATTTCCAAGGTTAGCCTACGTTTTCCATCAAAAGGGAAACAATGGATAATTAAGTGAATGTATACACACCAGGGTTCCAGCAACAATGGTGCCATTCAGGGGATGTGTGGTGCAGGCAGTAACACGTTCCGACAATGGTACAAATTTGTTTTGCTTACGCTGAGAACTGCCTTGGGCATTCTCCAACTCACTACATCAACAAAAAACATGCATAAGACTTCATCTTAAGCTAAACCAAACAAAACCAACGTGTCCAGTATATCCCAAAAGAGTAGAGTGGAGAATAACAGATATGCTAAAACCAAACGAACAATCCCACTATATTCCCCCGGCTAATGAAAAGCGTGAGAAATGGAGAAAAGCAGATAAGACTTCATCTTAAGCTGCGATGGAAAAAAAAAAATTAAAGGGCATGTGAAGTTCTTACTCATGGTCTACATGGCATGGGGAGCTGGTGTGTGGATAAAAATCCAATAGGTGAATCCCATTCTTTGAAGATGACCCAACTGCATAGATCTGCACATAGACCAATTTTTTAATTATTACCAAATTTAAGTCATATCAGTTGATTTTTTCTTGATTTCTTTCTTTTGATTTAAAATATGTTCCCTGGATCCAAAGAAGCACAATCTGGGGGGTCGTTCTTCAAAAAGTTGAGCAGATGCCATTGATGTCTTCTAAAGAATAATTTATACCAAGGTATAGTAATTTTCTCTAGCTGAATTGACATATAAAAAGAATAGAAAGAAAAGGGAGAGGTCAAGCCTGCTATCACTACAGGAAAAGTGGACATTTTCTAACGAACCATTTACGATGGACTATTGGTATTGGTTAAAGTAGTCATCTGTGGTAGAAGTGCACTGAAACAGAAAGTTATAAACTGAAAGCTATCAGTTAAGTTTCTAACTAGGGCCAAACAACCGATCTAGTTGGTTAACTAAATAAAAGAATGTAACGGCCAAGCTTCCATCGATTTAATTCACTATAGTTACGAACACATCTTTTCTGCTGATTTTATATTTAAATAAGAGAAAAGAAAAGTGGGGCCCAGGTTCAAACTGATGGCTATCTTTTGTGAAAGAAAGATGCGTTGGTTAGGGCTTCTTCTCCGATTGGAACTGTTTCCAAAGAGTTCATTTCCAATAGACTTCCATGGAGGTTGCCTAAAAACCAATAAAGATGCTTTTTAACAGGATTTGTCCCTCCTAAATGGCAATTGCTCTTGCAGCATACAAAATAACATGTAGGCAAAAAAGCAGCGAAGGAAAACAACATGACAGAACTAATTCGACCAGGGAGCTCTATATAATCTGAACTTTATGCTGAGAATTTAATAGTGTTGTCATGGAACTAAATGGTAACTCACGAGCTTTATTAAGAATTGAAAAAATATTAGACGAACTACTTAGGTATAGAAGCATTAATTGACAAAAAAGGAACAAAAATCAATTATAATGGAAATAAAGAATAAAGGTCCTACCGAGTCTTTAGGTAGCCATGATGGTTTTCTCGAGGAAAATATAGGGATCTCATCATCTGTTTCATCCCTGATTTCATAAACAAACATGGTGGTAAATAGTACAAAATATACTAGTCATATAGACATGTCCCTCGAATTATGAATTGTGGATTTTTTTTGTAACCACACCATGGGTGGTAATAAATTCAAAAAGGAAAGATAAAAGGAACGTATCCCGGGAAGAATTCAAAAGGAAAATAATAAAGAAGAGAGTTTCAGAGAGAGAGAAGAAAGAAAGACTCACAGCCAAGGAGGGGGAGGACAATGGATATGTGTCACTTGGAAATTATGCATATCCAGAACACCAGACCTGAAATTCATAAAGCAAGCAAAATATGTGAGAAGAGGTAAGGTGGTATCATATCATCCAAGAACATACAAAATTATAATATTAACAAAATTCCTCCTGTCATTGAATGACTGTCGTTGAATGTCACACAAATTAGTAAAAGGAATGTCAGTCCATAGTCCATTATGTCCCTTAAAAAGATATATTAATATTGTAAGAGCACGAGGGACTAAAAAACCTCTTCATGCTATCCAGTATGACATAGGGAATCTATAGGAGCCATATTTTCATATTTGGACATAGATATGAAATATGGCATCTATAATCACTCAAAAAATGAGCGCCTTGTATGGATCAGCAATGGTCAGATCATCTATATGATAAAATAGATGCAAGAGAGAAAGAGGGTATTCACAGGATTTGAAGATAACAAATGCACCAAATGAGGAGTTTGGTCTAATGCAGACACTTTCTGGTAACTAATACTAAATAGCCATAAAATATAGGCAGACAAATATGGAGATTAGAACTCTTACAAAACATAAGCCTTATAGCAGACTTTGAAACACTAAAGGAAAAAAAAGCGCTAATGAAGACATCAAAGATATCAAGATGACAAATGAATATATATTCTGACTTACCAACCATCATCAAGATGAAAGCCCAGTTGATATGGACAAGATGGATTAATGTCGATTGATTGTATTTCCTTTGGTAGAATATTTGACTGTGCCTGCAGCATACATAGGGGAGTCATCAGTCTTCAAATATGAAACTCAACATTGAGATATTCATGCGCCACATGTTTGAAATGAACAATGATCTAGCATAATACCTTTATTTAGCATTATCATGCATGAGTCTCATTGCTATAAAGAACGGTAAATCTAGGTTGGATTCTATGTTTAGTGATCTATGCTTCAAACATTTTACATATCTCGACCCTCACCTTTGTAAAATCTAAACATCTTAAGTAGATCAATATTCCAATTTAATATTATAAGATTCATGTAACAAGTAGGCCATTTAAAGCTAGAGATGTGTCACTCAAACCAGTTTCGATCATAATTGTGCAGTATCAATGTGAACATCCATAATAACATTAAATTTAGAAATTGCTATAAAAAAATCTCTAAGGTGTTATCTTAACAATAATAATTATCGATCAAGTTTTTAAATTTGCAAAGTATTCAAATAATTGATGGTGGGAGTGACACTTTTAGAACTTAATAATAAAAACTAGCATTATCTGATGAAAAGCTGGTGCCCGGTCAAAACATCATATGACATGAAACTAAAGAATATAAAGCTTAATTAATTTATGCTGACTGAAAAGAAACCAAAAGAAAACATGGTATTGCAATAACTATCTTGCCTTTAGAAGCTCGATCTTATTCAGCATGGATGCCAACTTTACTGATGTTACCGGAGAAGAGTGTACCTGTTAGGTAAAGATAGTTTATTATTGACCAAAACACATAAAAGTTCGCTATCCACGTTTGTATGATATGGTCAAAATTATCATGTTAACCTCTTAATGAGAACTTGTCCAGTATCAAGGAGTTCATATGACAACAAAAGTGGCAGTCCCAGTCAAGTCAACTGAGTCCTTATGGTGCTACACCATACGAATTAACCTTGAGGTTGGGGTTCGAGCTTCATAACAGGCGGTAGCATGCATTGTGTGTTATGTCGAGAGCTCGAGGCAATGAAGGAAAAGGAAGGGAGGGAGGGATAGAGATAAAGAAAAAAAACCTTATTGTGACTTTGAAAAGCAGCTGATGATCTTCCACCACGTAGATCCCATATATATATAAAGCCACTCTTACTAGCACCATACACACACTGATAAATAAATGTGAGGTAAGTCTTGATCGATCAATTGTCAAAAATAAATTTTTCACAAATTTCAACACGCACTACATAAGGTTCCAATAAACAAAATCAGGAACATGCGTATACCCTTAATATACATAAATTGTTGTCATGTATATTATAATATGTTAAAATTATTTACTTGATCTCCATTTAGTTGGATGCTGGTAAGGCTGCTATTTGCATTAGTTGCAAGCCCAGTTTGTGGAAGGTGGCTCGCTCTTCTGTCCCAGATGCTTATGGCTCCACACGCATCGGAAGCAAGTACCCTACTGAATAAATCATGACACATGCGATTACACGACCAATTCTATGCTGAAAACCCAGCTGTAGAACGCTTGGAATCAAAATAATAAAAATGAGAATCTCCACTACTTTTGCTACACGAATCATTCTGTGGCTCATAGCCTTATAAGGAAGTTACTATTATAAGATCTATACAAGGTCTCAGAAAGGTAACTTGTTGAAATATACCCAACCAACACTACCTCATTAGGCTGAGGATGTGACTCAGACATGATTTGCAATCTTCTAATGGCGAGTATAACCACATCAACAAAGCATGCAGCATCTACTAAGATTTTAGTTATTAATCAATATTAAGCTTTTCTTTTACGAACCTTGAGTTATCATCAAGGAAGGCTATATCAGATAAACCTTTGCGCGCACTACCACCATGAACAGTGACAGTAGGCCTCTTTCTTAAAATCTGCAGATTGATAAACAGGAAAAATTGAAGTTATCAGGGTTCACTTAGAAAATTAATATTGGAAAAGGATTTCTATTAAAATATGTGCGCTCATACTCATCACCACAGGAACTGCGATAATATGCATAAGAAGATTGCCCAATGAAGATGAGAAAAATCTTATCATTCAAATACAACTACTAATCACCTAAACATGGTATTTAACATCTGCTTCCTGACATAACCTAGGGAAAGATTGCCCCAACAAAATACAGAAAGTGTAATCATTCAAATTTATTTATTATTACTAATCACCCATACATGTCCTCAAATTATTTTCACCTTCAATATAGCGGCTATACAAAAAAAGGAAAAAAATTATGAAAATGATAAACATAGCCTTCAACTTCAAAAGTATTATCTTATTTTCAAGTAAATATTTTAGTGCCACTTCACTTTTACAAACGAAAAAATGCATGGAAAGCCAACAACAACAATACATAACTCGTTAAAACTGGTTCTTGTTTATTTCAAGCAAAACGAGGTATTGGCTTTTTATGCAATTATTTCTTATTATTTCTAGCATTGAAAATGACTCCAGAATCTTGTAGTTCAGGTATCAAATCATTGTAAATCATGCAATCAAATATTATAAAAAGACTGATTTTATCAAACCATGGAAAATTTATTGTAGCCACAATGCCAAATCAAATTCAACTAGAAAAAGACTAGGAAAAAGTGAAGGGTTTGAAGAAAAATAGAAAGAACCGATAAAGTGGAAAAAGAGGGTATTTTTGGAAAAAGATTGGCTTAATGGCTAAAGGCAAGACGAGTTGGCTTAATAAATTAAACCATGGGTTTAGCGTTAAGTTATAATCAAACACCTTATATAACTGAATAAATTAAGCCATAAGCCCCTTAAGCTTGTTAAGTCAAAATCAAACGCTCCCGTGTTAGTAAAACTTAATGACTGCATCACAATATTGAAGCATCATAATGTACCTGTGACTGTAGTATATTCAATGTACAAAATCAATTATATGTAAATACCACATGCCCTATAATGGTCCCCTAGAGGTTGACAAGCATATGAAAACTGAAACGAAAAACATACCTCGGTCGGTTCTGAAGAAATATACCCAATGTCAAAGATGCGAACTTCATCATTGCAAAGAGATGAACATGCAACCTAAAAGGTATACAAGTTGTTTGTTAAGCGTTAGCCCAAACTACTGCAGCGGTATAGAATATAATGGCAATACCAAAAAAGTGCATTTGCTAATAGAGTAAGAAAAGTAACATTTTTGAAGGTCGCATACACTGGCATTATGAATAGGATGACAATAAACAGTTTAACATGAATATATCCACAAAACAGCTTGTCAATGGCACTGAGATTATTAATACCAAAGCTGAAAGAAGTCATGAAGCAATGACAGTTATATCAGCAACCAGAAGAATCAGGAACAGAAACGGTTTCAGAAATCAACAGTTGTAGGTGTGGTGATGTAGTAGCTAAAATTTCAAATCAGAAACAAACAACAGTGGCAGGTGGCGTAAGCAAAAGGGCGGAATTGGTCCAATTGGATATGGGTCAGGCAATGGCGAAGAAGGCTAGATCTCGTTCAGGCACAGGTAGTAGTTACATCTGCTGGTGGTGGCATGGTCAGGTGATGACGATGGCTAGAGTTTTGTTCAATGGCGGGGATTCCGTCACTGGAGGCAGCTAGGGTTTTGACACCGCCGGCTAGGATTTTCTCACCAAAAAAGTAGGGGGATCTGAAACCTTATTATGATATGTGGAAACCCCTTATTCTCTCTTTAACAGACCCCAAGAGAGTTGGTCTATGACTAACAGATGTGGGACTCCAACAAAGGTTATCATTGGCAAGGTTTTAAAAGGCCGAATCGGGCCTCGAGGCATTTTCCGTCAACGAGGCGAGGCGTAAGCCTCGATATGATCCAAGGCGTAAGCACGAGGCAGAAATATAGATACACCAAAATACGTACATATACTACACAGATATATATATACACACACATTTGTATATATATTTTTTATGTATAGTATTAAATTACTAAGAGGCGTTGGTTCAATGGTTCTTGACATAAGAAAGAGTGAAACTGTGAGACTGGCTGAGAGGGTTTGGAAAAATTGGTTGCTTGGAGGAAGAGGAAGGGTCCAACCACACTTTTTGATTGAGAGGAGAAAGTACCAGCTTTTTGGGCTTTAAAATATTAAAAATACGCATTGGGGCCATTGTGCTTTGACTTTTAGTTTTTAAAAATACAAAAAGACTGGTACTATAAGGAGAAGTACTACTGATGCCAATAATAAAAAAGTCAAAAAAGAACATTACCAAAGTAGATCATCTGAGGCATGCGCCTTGACATCGCCTCACGCCTCACTGAACAAAGGCGTAAGCCTCGTCCAGGGTCCAAGAGGCGTTGCCTCAGGTGCGGTTTTGGGCCGCCTCACCTCGAGCGTAAGCCTCAAACGATTTTTAAAACCATGATCATTGGAAGTCTTTAACAGCATAAAACATATGATGAAGGAAGCTTCTTTGAAAATTAGAAAATTTTCAATCATCCATATATAATGAATATCTAATGAACTTATAAGTTGACAATATGACCTCAATGGATCATCAGAAACAAATTCGCTAGGTTGGTTATAATAGATTGACCAGTTCCTAAGTTCCAAGTGCATATAAGTATGAAATTGGAACGCACGAACTGAGCGTAATCAAATATATTAGTTACAACAAATGTCACTATTTGGTATATATGTTGCTTTCAATATTATAATAGAGTATAAAACTTACACATTTGCAGAGAGAAGGAAAAAATTGACAATAAGAAGAAAAGGCCATAACACACCTCATCCTGGTTAGTTGGATTCCAGCGGACAACATCTATACAATTAGATAAAGAAATGTGCAGCAAGTGTTTGCCCTCATCTTCCTGTGGGCCTATAACCAAAAAAGGATGCAAAAGGGAATATAAAAAACCAAACCGACAAACCCAGTCTTAAATTCATGGTTGAAAGTTGAAAAATACACTATTAAAGCAGACAACATTATATTGTTGTAGCACTGATATATCTTATATCTAAAAAGTAATATCAGGTACGGTAAGTTTTTATAAGATGCTACACTAATTTAATATTTTTATTCAAATTTCCAATATGATATGCTGAGATGATGACATGAGTAGAAACGTTTTACTTGATCAATAATAGCTACAAATGCTTCTTTTATGTTTTAGAGGAAGAAAACACAAGAAAGTTGATTCTCCGCATAATTCTTTATATGAGGTGAAACAAAATAATGTTAATTTGTGGTTTTAACAAGGGACGGACCTACGGTGGTGCCACCGTATGTATTTTGAAACTACATTGAGAACAAGTTTTCTTTGGTAGAATTGGTTTGCAAGGCTTTTCTTCTACACAGACCCAAGTTCGAGTCCTATTAGTGTCATTTTCTTAGTCAAATGGTGCCATTGTTTGAAAAAAAATCCCTACTTTTGTTTCGTATAGTCAAATGGTGCCACCGTTTGCAAATTTTTCCCTATATTTGTTTCTTATAGTTAAATGGTGCCACTGTTTGAAAAAAAAAAAAACTGGGTCTGTCCCTGGTTTAGCCTCCTTAAGTTACAAGAGTGTGACAGCCTACTAACTACTAACACATTAACACATATTAAGAATGTTTCTAACCAGCCTACAAGCAGATTTAGCAGCAGACTCACATTCAATCACCATAACTATCTTTTAGCTTGTTTTCGTTAATATATTCAAATATGCAATATATCTGTCAGTTCTTTTTTCCTTATACTTACATTAGTTAACAAAAAAAAAGGAGCAATTTGTTGAGATGATGCTGGTCATTGTTAGTTTGTTACTTGTTACCTCATGCAGCTCAAATATGTTCACTTACGTTTGAACTTCCCTCTAATTGTAGGCAGCGGAACTTAAGAGCATGCAGATGATATATACTTAAACAAGGAAAACCACCTTTATTTCAATTTAAGCATATATGAAGAAAGAAAAAGGTAGAAAACAATTCATGTGGTGAAATTACTATGCTGTTAATATCGCGATATATCGTCGATATATCGGATATCGCTCCTAGAAAAAATATCGGAACTCAAATATCGGTCAAAATATCGGGAACGATATTATCGGCGATATTTTCCGATATTTAGCGATTTTTAGCGATATTTTGAGGCGATATTTTCCGATTTTTAGCGATATTAGAGAGGCGCTACAAATCTCTTAAAGATAGCAAGTCTTCAAATCCTATTTTCTTGAGAGATGTTGAAGAAAATGATGATTGGGTGGTTCCAACCGACGTTGAGCTCCAAGAGTTTGTGGATGCAAGAGATGGCCTCCTTTGGTCGGATGTACGAGAAGGAATGGAAGGTAATGAAGAAGTTGGACCAAGTACAAGAAGTAAAAGGGAGCGCTATAGAGATGATGATGATCATCATCATGTTGGAGATGAAGGGGAAGAAGAGGAAGATTGGGAAGCTAACCTAAACGAAGAAGTGAATGTATTGGATGATGTTGACTCAGATGCCGAACCTATTGCTTGCGATTAGCTTGTTTTTGAACACTTTAGATGATGTGATGTTTTAATTTTGAAACTATATTTCTAAACTCTAATTAATGCATATTATATATATAATTCTAAAAAATATTATGTTAACCGCTATTTCCGATATATCACCGATATAACCGATATATCGAATATCAGTCCTGACCGATATTTCGTATTCTGACCGATATAACAGCATAGGGTGAAAACCAATTGATATAAGTTCATTAGAGTCAACAGTCAATTAGTAAGAACTCTAAAGACGTATTTTTGCACGTTTCATGTGATTCACAGAAATGTCACTGTTCTACCAAAATATTAATTGATTTTCCAATTAAAATCATTGGAGTAAAACATTGCTGACAAAAATCATAGACCAAAACTTACGTAATACAGATTCATTACTCTGACAGTATAGAGATTCAAAGTCATGCACTGTTAAGCACCCTGTTCTTGTCCCTGATGCCAAATAGATTCCCTAACAAAAAGATAATTACTTAAATAGTTAGGTGTATGCTACTCCTAGCCTAAATTAGGGAAAGAGGCTAAAAGTGAGACCTGAAATAGTCTTCACATTTCTAGCTATGGATGAATGATGATAAACATACAGTCATACACATGATCATGAATTAACTGCTACATTATGAGATGCGTGAGTAAAACATATGATAAGAATTACAATCAAAACATCCGGTGTGGTGATGATAAACCAAACCATACTAACTCAGGGTGGGGTCTGAGAGTGGGATTTAAGCAGACCTGACTCTCCTCCAAAGAGTTGAAGAGTTGTTTCCATGAGGACCCAGTCTGATGAAGAAAACATAAAATCACATGCTATATTTTTCCATGCAATGAAGCAAGTTTACCTTTGTGTCAAATTCCAAAGCAGAGACGCCCATCCTGGATAATGATATTTAGATAAATAGATAATGTTAAGGTTCTTTTAAATCGGAAAAATATATAAGTGAAAAGGAATAGAAGATTATTGTTCTAGTTAGGCAATTGAAAATTAAAGAAACAAAGCAAGTTCATTTATGAATTTAGGAGATCACAGTAGCAGCCTCGGCAATATGATTGTGGTTAGTGGATACTCCCTCCAACCTGTAAATATGAGAATAGGTATATGGATTTCACTACATGCTTAACATCAACTTAGCATTTGTCATCAAATAAATTGCATCACATACAAAGGCGTGGGGCTGCGTGCATGGCTTTTCTTACAATATGTATATATAATTATATCTTAAGCAAAGGCAGCAACTTAATATAAAAAATTAGAGCTATAACACTGACAGTCTATTGCTGGAGGTGTCTGATGAGTACCCAATGGTGGTCACATTGATCTGCAAAACATCGCTATTATCTATAAGCAATTCCCTTTGTAATTTCTACTCTCTCAGTCCCAGACTAACTCATTAAAATCCTTGGTGGATTAAGCTTGTTTAATTTGGGACGAGGAGTACTTTTTCCTTTACAGAAAGTAGTAAAATATAAAGAATGCCAACCAAGGAAAATGAAAAGGAATAGACGCTTGTGATATGCGTTTTACAAGGTAGTCCATCGATATGATACGTGTGACGGAATGCCCCAATCTCCCAAAGTAAACAAATCTAGGGTTAGTAATTTAGTAAAATAAAAGCATGTTGATAAACCACCCAACCAAAAACCGACCGTTCTTACCTCGGAATACGATTGCATTAGCAGCGGTGAGACGTCGTGATGGTAATTGCGTACAGATTTTCCGGTCAATTCAATTCGACTCCTTTTCCACTGCGACCTTCATCCGGATGATTGTAAAGAAGATAGCAATTAGCCAAATTTTTAGACTGCCACCAATTAAAGGAGCTTACCTTGTGATCGGCGAAGGGTTTTCACCAATTTGAGCCACCGAAACTGCGTACTTTTCCATGGCGGATTATGGGGTTCTGGCCGGAGTCGCCGAAGCCGGTAGTTCCCGCCCTTCTGTGGAAAGACAAATTTTACTGAAAGAATTGCCGCTCAATAATATTAGATAGAAGGAGCATCAACAATTTCTTGAAATTAAATGTAACTTTATTTTATTTTTATTTTAAAAATTAATGAAAATGCCTTTAAAGATTTTTCAATGGATTTTGTGAAAAAAAGTGGAGATTTTACGCAAATTTTCTATATAATATATATTTTTCTAAATTGAAAAGGTAACAAAAACTTTAAATTTAGATATTTAAAATTTAACGAATAATATTTTATATACTTTAAAATAAAAACTATTAAAAATAAATGTATTACTTTTAAAATTTTAAATTTTCATTTTACATTTTTGGAAGATGATGTAATAACATCTCCATCCAAAATGTACAAAATAAACAATCAAAATCTCCAAAAATAATTACTTTTATTTCCGACATTTACTTTATTTTAAGATTATATAATTAAATACATCATTAAGATATTCGATACAATTTATAAAATATCATTTTTTTTCTATCCTAAATATTAAATTCAAACAATTTCATCCGTGTAATTAATAAAAAGTCATTTCTCTTTTATAAATATTATTTTTAGAATAATCTCTAAATTTAGAGAATTCTATTTTCTCTCCCATGTTTTCTCCATTTTTGAGAAAGTTTTGGAGAATATATTGTAACAAAAGCCTCAAAATCTTCATTTTACAAATCTATTGGAGATGTTTTAAATGGTCGTTTACTAAACACTTACTTGGTAAGTGCTTGCCGGATAAATTTCCTCAAATGATAAACATGAGAAGGGTCAAAAATCTTACTGGATAAGAGCGATGAGAATGATGGAGAGTCTTACCCGGTAAGTGAGGATGACGTTTTTTACCAAGATAAGCGCTTACCCATTAAAATTTTGCATTTGATTTGTTGTAATATACTAAAATCTTACGCATCAAAATAAATCATAGTGTTGACTTCTATCAGTAAGCGCTTACGGATAACCAATTGGGTAAACGGCCCCTAAGAATGTGTAAGGGATGTTCTAAAAGACTAAAATCTATTTGCATTTTATTCATTATCAATGTATAAGTGATTACGGTACTTTATTTTTAAATCTAATTAATTTCGAATATAGAATTTAGAGCAAAATGCACAAAATAGCAATATACTTTCATAAATTTCTTTATTATAGCATTGTATTTTCAGTTTTTCTTATTACAGCAATGTATTTTCAAACTATTTTTTATTAGGACATTGTACTTTGAAAAATTTACCCATTATAGCATTGGGTAACTTTTTGATTTAAACTTACTCATTATACTAGGTTTTCATGTCACCTCATTGTCCACGTAGGCTGTCCACATGTACTATAGTGGTGTGACTTTCTTACTACATTATTGTACTTTTAAAATTATTTTATTATAGCATTTACTAGTTCTTATTAAACACTGTATTTTTAATTTTAATATTTAGATATTTTACATGTTATTTAATAAATGTATTAAATGGATTAAAAAATTCTAAATTATTCATTAATATACCCATATCAATAAAACTAGTAAAACACAACTTATCTCGCTAACATTTTTAAAAAAATATGTGTTTTTTGAAAAAATAAAAATAAAAATTWTTCCTTTTTTTACCAAAAAATATTATCTTTTAAATAATATATTATATTTGTTCAAAAACTTTTTACTTGACGTATAAATATATTAAATTAATTAGATTTTTTTGAATTATTTATTAATATAACAATATTAAAAAATTGTAGATAACAATTTATTTCGTTAATATTTTAAAGAGAACTTTAAAATATATGTGTTTATTTGAACAACATAAAATATGAAAAATTACTTTTTTAACAAACAAAATATATCTCGAAAATAATGTTTCATATTTACTTAATAAATATTTTACTCTTATAATATTTAATTTGAATGCAACTTAATAAGAAAAAGTAAAAAAATTTAAATGTTTGTTTTAGATCATAGCAATGAAAATTGAATGTCTTTCACAAATGAAAGTTTTCTTAATCAACGTCCAATAAAGCTTCAACAACTAAACAATCACCGTCTACCAAGGCTTTTTCTTTGGTATATTCTTTTTAATGGATTGACCATCCGATGTCAACAAATATATTGTCAATCAAATCCTCCCTAAATGTTGATGGTGTTCGCTCCAGATATGTTACCAATGGAGAGTCCACTATGAACAATTGAGACATAACAGGATCCAACAAACAATTCAAAGTCAACTGTTTCGTAAGTTTTCATGTTTTTTAATGTATTGTTTGTAATTTTTTAAACAAATTTTTATTGATTTTTATGTTGTACAATGATATGTAAATGATGTTCTTGAACGATCATGAGTTTCAATACTAATAACGTATTTATTGTTTTTTGTATTATTAAAAAATGTTACAGTTTCAAACGATTAATTATGAATGTTGTTTTTCATGCTTGATAAATATTTTGTATGATTATGTCTCGTTTCATTTATGTTAAACCTTGTCAATGGTGTTCATGTATGCTTAGTAAATTATGTAATAAGTGTTATTCTTTTTAATTCTTCCAGACGTAATGAGCACCTTATTATGATTTCCATCATGTTCATCTTTAATGTTTTACGGAATAGCTATTCATTAGGTGTGAACATAAATTTTCAACAACATGAAATTGTCACTAACATGACAGACGTTACAAATATTCATGCATATGTTCACTTATTTGGTTTCATGATTATTAACAATGTCGATGCAGTTACGTTCACTACTTCCAACGGGTAAACAGTTTGGTGTATTCACCAATACGAAGTTACGTTCACATCAGCATCTTGAAAGGTGGCATAATACAATGCATTGAACACACTCCTTGGTAACCAATCGAGCATCATTTGAAGTGTAATCAACATGTAATTGTATTCAAAGTTACGGTGTTTTCAGTTTTGATGAACCTTATGTTAATCTTTGTAGTATGATGGAGATCAACAGTTATGTTCAATCATAAGCATGAAGCGTATGTTTTTGTGTGTTCATCAATGTTCATGTATCACGAATGATTCTACGAACTATAAATGGAATGTGCAATTACTGATTTGTAACCGATGTAATTAATTAATTACCGATTTGGACATCTCTCCCAAAAAATACTCATGTTCAATTTTAATAGTTTAATATATTAAGTAATATTGAGTTTTTATAATTATTATAATATTAAATATATATTTTTAACGTGTGGTTGAAGTTGATCCTTTTGTATTCAATAGACCCACTATTTTTAACGTCTTTAATGTTTTATTCTAACGGTTTTATTTTTGATGGTTTAGTTGGAAATAAAAAATGTAATTTACTCATACAACTATTATAACATTAAGCATCATGTACAGTGTGATCCTTTCAATCTCGTCACACCTTAATTGACTGAAAATTATCATGCACATTGTCGTTGAAAAGTTCATCTTCTTTTGCTTAATTGGTGCTATTTCAAATGAGCAATCCTTTTACGCGATATAGGGGTTACACATGTCTGTTGGTTTTTATCATCGAATTTCATTTGATAGAACCAAACATTTGTGGTATGAAAGAGAAAGTATCGGCATTAAAAAAACAGGGTTAGCAGTTTCCTTTGGTGTTAGCCGTTTTCAACAATGGTTGTTAAGTTCCATACATGAAGTCCCCTTGCATTGGGGCAATATGGTCATTTTACCCTTTAACATTATGATGTGAAACTAAAAAACAACTCTTCCGTTCCATCTATCTCCTCGTGTTGTTCTTTTATATTTTAACGTTGATTAATTTATAAATAAAAACAAGGATCAACTAAGAGTTTATCTACTGTATTTAATCCATCATCTAATAACCAAAACAAAAGGCAAATGTTAATTAATATCCCTTGTTTTTTTTTTTTTTGAAGTATATAATATTTATAAACGAGCAAATGCAACAAATAAACTCACACACCCTTCTCACCTTTTGTGGGGTTTGAACCCTTGACTTCCTAGGAAGCCAAAGGCTACGATACTGCTAGGCCGAAGGCCCTTTGATAATATCCCTTATTCTTGTTTAAGGATCTAGAAACAGAGGTACCCACCACCATTAATTACCATCACAAATCCAAAATAAAATACAAATTTCATTTATTTACAGTTCATGATAAATAAGTAAATCTTAAAAGAAGTAAAGAGCCCATGGAAATTTATTGAAAAATCAAATATATAGTAAAAACCTAAATCACAATACAATAAAAATCCTAGATTAAAATGCAATCAAAATCCAAATCAATGAGAAGAAGAAATTAATGTCTCCCCCACCTTTTGGATCATGGAATTCCCTTTCTTGAAACAATAAAAAGTACAAAAAAAACATTATTCTAAAATCTCAACAAAAATAAAAAGAAATGTATATCTGAATTGGTCTTATCGAAATAAACTTGAAAATATATTTATTGAAAAATAACAATTTAGAAGTCATGTAATCAATTTTGGTTTTTCCTCATATATATATATACATATATATATAGAGTGAGAGAGAGAGAGAGAGATCAATTTTAAGAAATTTAGATCATTTTTTTTTTCACCAACAGACTTGAGCCAAATCAGTTGGAGGTGCCATATTCGGCGATGATATTAGACATTCACATATTGTTGAGAGGGGGGTAAACGGGCATTGTATGTCACAAAGTATCGAGTTCCTATAGTGATAAATATTTATAATAACACCACGTAATAATAATGTTGAACGCATTTAGACTAATTGTCTTCAAAATATACATTGAAGGGATAAGATATATTTCAACACCTAGTACGTTGAGATTTGAAGCCAAGTCAAATGCATGAACTTGAGTCATTAGTTGAAGTTGTTATATATTGAAAACATAGAGGTGTGTCCTCCATGAATGTGTCAAGTCACTACAATACGAGACCGTTCTTTGTGGACAATGGAAAATAGCGTTACTGTGAACATGTATCGTTGTCTGTAGATATGGAAACAAATAATGAGCTCTTTATGGAGCATTTGATTCACCAGAATTTAGGAAGAGTACAATGATAAGTTTCTTTAATCAGGTCAGTCAAAAAGCTCCACCAATAATAAGCAACTCTAGAACCTTCAACATTTCAACCAGTAACAGAAAAAGCGTTGTATATATATTCCATGTTTGGGTTTATCAAATATATGAAAAAAATATAGCATAAACAACTCGTTACTAGATTTTGTGTTTTTTTATAGTCACCCATCTCTTAAAAAGGAGATGATTGTTAGGTTAAAGAACGAACAAACACATAAACACCCTTCAAACTATGATGTATGCTCGTTTTTGGAGGTGATGTAGTAAGATGATAGCTTATTCTATTTGTGCATTGTATGTTTGGCCATAAGATTTATCATCTTAAGATGTGAATCTTGTTTGAGAAAAAAAATGTCTCTTAATGGTTTTAAAACCCTCTGAATGATTTTGTATCATGAGTCTTCCTTAACCATTCAACGCCCTAATTTCATCATAAACAATTGTCGAATTATATTTCATTTTGCACTATATATCATGAGAATCTTTTAATCATTTTACATCAAACCATTAAGTAATTGTCAAACAACCCATTAGTAGATAAATGAAATAACTTATTTAAGTTGTTAACGGACTTTCCTTAAATAATAATCATTAATAATTTAATATTAAAAAAAGAAAAGAAAAGAAAAGAAAAGAAAAACAGTGATTGCATCGCGCACAGATTACGATCCGCGTCATTTTGTTACTGCCCGTCCGATTTCACTTAATCCAACGGCTCAACTCACCTCGTCAAAAACATCTTCAACCCCCAAAAATTCAGAGTTTCCCGCTCACCCGAAATTCTCCGATAAAAACCCAAAGAACTGACGTCTCAATCCATCGTCTACAACACTCACAATCTTTCTAGAGCTTCCATCCCTTAAACACATCTTTCACTAATTCCCTTCAAATGGCTCGTACCAAACAAACCGCCAGGAAGTCCACCGGAGGAAAGGCTCCGAGGAAGCAATTGGCAACGAAGGCCGCAAGGAAGTCTGCTCCGGCAACCGGAGGAGTGAAGAAGCCACATAGGTTCAGGCCAGGAACTGTTGCTCTGAGGGAAATCAGAAAGTACCAGAAGAGCACCGAATTGTTGATCAGGAAACTTCCATTTCAGAGGCTAGTGAGGGAAATTGCTCAGGATTTCAAAACCGATCTGCGTTTTCAGAGCTCCGCCGTGGCTGCTCTTCAGGAGGCCGCCGAGGCTTATTTGGTTGGACTTTTTGAAGACACCAATCTCTGTGCGATTCATGCCAAGAGAGTCACCATCATGCCTAAGGATATCCAGCTCGCTCGCAGGATTCGTGGTGAAAGAGCTTAGAATTAGGGTTTCGTTTTGATGAACACATTGTACGGTTACCCTATTGCTATAATCAGGTAGAGTTTTTGTACTCATTTCAAGTAAATCGGGTAAGTTTTAGGGTTTATATTGTCAATCCATGGTACTCCATTATATGAACAAATGATCTTCTTTTAATTTGATACCTGGATCTTTGCATATGCTTTATTAATTTGTAATAACATATAATTTATTTGTAATTTTGAATTTAAAAAAATATACATATGCTTATAATATAGTGTAAATTGTGCATATTTTCTTATAACGAATTGTAATGGATACAAAACTTTATTATAATATATGACTAGTTTTATATCCGTACAATGCAATGGGAGCCATGAATTTTAACGATTTTGAAGTTTCACTGATTTTATAAGATAAGATTTAATGATAATATATGTTACACTTGGTCTTTACATATTAATACAATTTGAATAAATAAGAGTTATGGTTCCAATTACAGACTATTGATGGAAAAAGTTGTATGACAATTTAAAATCCAATATATTTAAAATTCAACATATTTAAACGACTCCATAAATGTATTCGATTTACACAAAGAGCAAAGAACCAAGAAACTTGAGTTTTAAGATAAACACTTAAAACCAATAAAGAAAACTACAAATTTGAATAGCCTAACCTCAAAATATATAGTATATATATAAATAAATAACTATAAAAGTATAAATCCTAAATACTAAAGATATTTTTTTCATAGTATATAATAATATAATTAAGTCAAAAACTATTCAATATTGGACTCATTTCGAAGGTATTAACGAGAGGATTATAATTGTGTAACTTGTTAAAATAAAAATGTATTTTTTAAACATGTTTTAATTGATATACGATTATGTATGTTAATTTGATAAATGTTTAAAATGAAACATTTAAAAGTAAATGACGTAAAGTAATTAATTAACTAATTACAGGGGTATAAAATGTAAATTTAAAATTATAATTTTAAAAAATCGGTTGTGAGATGGTGAGTGTATGTGAGGAGAGGATGGAGTGAAAAAGTGACATAAAAGTAGTATAAAGGGTATTTTGGTTATTTAGTATTTTAAGACTTTTGCTAAATTTATTTAATAAGATAGTATAGATAAATATGAAGCACATGAGTGGATGCTTTAAAATTAGCAAATATATGGTGTTATTTTGTTTAGTGATTATGTTTATGGTTTTATATATTTTAGTGAGTATTTTGATAGATACAATGTTTTTTTTTTTGAAGTAGACGTTAAGTCTACATTTGTTTAGGGAAATTTATAAAACTAACTATTTTACATAATATTTTGCCACAAAATAACTATATTTTAGAGTTTTTGCTGGAATGATCACCCAGATTGCCCCTAGGGGCGATCCCCCTTTTCTAAGTAAAAAAAAATTTGAAAATTTATTTTCTTGGACACGTGTACTAGATGGGGGCGATTCATGTGTAAGGATCGCCCCCGGGTTAAAAAACTTTTTTTTTTGAATTTTTTTTCTAATACTAATTTCACTATAAATACCAACCTCCTACTTCATAATTTTTCACACATTTCCTTTCATTTCTCTTCTGATGATTTTCTCAGTTACTTATTTAATTATTTCAGAACCGATTTTGGATAAAATCATAATTTAGACAGCAACCCTTCTAAATCTTATGGTTGGGTATGCATGCTTCCACTCATCTGAAACTGAAAGACCCTCCATGACATGAGATGATGATGATGGCCTTGTTGCTAACGAAACCTGTGGTTGTGAAAGCATAACAGAAAGGTTCTCTCTCCATCATGATGTGATACCACGAGTGCAGTGGAATTCACGTTTATTGCTCACCCCCAACTTGTATCCTACCATCTCTATCTCCCTTCCTTCAGCCACAGGGAATCTACCTTTCTCACAACATGACAACCCACATAACCATCTTTCTAAAACTAGAAAAAAAACCCAAATAAGATAACCACAAACCACGGATGTCCGTGTGTTCTAGTCTAAGTTGAGGATAAATCAAGACTTTTCCAACCGCATCAACTCAGATCTCATCATCACATCGTTTTCTCGTGCTCTTTCCGGATCCAAGAATGATCACGATCTTTTGACCACAAACAACAACTTTTGAAAACACCATCTACTCAACACAAGGTCATATCCTGTTTCATAAAACGTACACAACAAATACACCGGAAACGAAAGAAAATCATACAAAACCATGCCTAATCGCTTGATCTATGGCAAGTGATAAGTATTAAGAAAGAAATGATATTTGGTTCGTCTTGAATAGGAACGATATTGATATAGATACAAGCAGATACAGAAGGAATCAGGGATACATATATAAATCTATGCCAAGGGTCATTTACAAGGTGGTCTAACATTGAGGTTGCATTTTTTATCTTTTTTCTTAACGACAACCTCAGCTGATTGTTACGCTAAAAGTACTTTAGAATGGCTATACAATTGGCTGATTGTTACAGCAACAAATGGAGTTTTCTTATTCCCCTGTGGATGATTCTGTTCTCTCGTTACTAAAACAAATTAAAGGTTTCACCTTTCTTGATTATCTCCATTTATATATATCATGTATAGAAGCGAGAGTACCTATGCTTAGTCTTGTTAGAGTTCCTGCTTATGTGGACATGTACACTTCGAGTGATGGTCTGAAAGTGTCTGAAAGGTTAAAACAGTAAGACAAAATAAGTGATATAATATGAGACCATGAAGGATATATCGAGGAGATTTAAGGGATTAGTGACTAGTTTCCCAGAAGGGAATACCTCGACTTGTTTCTGAAGTTCTTTGATATAATCAACAGCCAAATCCAACATGTCTGCTGTGTTTGTTTGCTGCAAATATCAAATACAAAGGCCTTAATCTCGGGACACTCGTGGTAAATATCGAAGGATGAAAACTAGAACAGCGATGATCTTACCTTGTCCATATTTGGGACAAGCTCTTGTAGCTTCCTCATCCTTTCACTTATTCGTGTTCGTCTTACCTATAGATGTAAAAGAAAGCTTTTCTTTAATCATCTTTGTTATATATGGTGGAAGTTCCAAATGATGTCGAAACAGTAAAAATGTGTTATTTGGTAGCCAAGAATGTGTACCCTTTCGGCAATGCTTCGGGGATGAGTAGCACAACCCCTTTTAGCCCTGCTCCTTAACGGCACACTATCTTGGAACTGCAGAAGTTTTTCCATGACAGACAACTCGGCCGAACTAGTTGGCAAACTCAGCTGATGAGTCAAACCAGTGGGAGCATGAATCCTCCCTTCATCATTCTGTTCATCAAGATATTGTACGGTCAGGCTCATTTGAATCAGTTACCAGCTAAGCAGCTATCATCATAATATCAAACATACACCCATTTTACCCGATTTCCAGATGAACTTAGGCTTGAAAGGGAGTTTTGATCATTTTCTCCAAGTTCTTTCAGGAATCCATCAGTTAACATTGTTGGTTCATCCCAAGAACCACCAGGGAAAGTGGTAACATAACCAGCAGTTTTCGGATGAGTATCACCAAAGCTTCCATTGTTATGGGCACTCATTCCCATGGCTTTGTCCTCGTTTTCAGGGATACGAGACAATAGTCTAGAAGATGAATGTGCCCCTGATGAGAAAGTCATCCGGCTTTTCAACCTCTTCGCGGAGGAGAACGATGAATCTGGTACACTGTCATTAGCAGCTTGAAATTTATCCATGGATCTCATCATAGAGTAACCTAAAAAGAATCATAATCAATGCATCGTCTGGGAAAAATGGTAAAAACATTATGTATATAAAGTACCATCGTCGATATTAATGTTTTCGAAAAACCCAGCTGGCGAACTACTTTGACGAAGAAGACTCGTTGGAGGATCCATCGCCATCAACGGGTCAACCACGGTGGAACCAGAGCCAGAAACAACCGGGTTATTATTATGAACGACTTGCTGAGATTGAGCGTGGTTTTGATACATCATCTGTCGCTGTTGCTGAGATGAAATCGTCACTTGTTCCTGCTTCATAGAATCCATAAACTGCGGTTCGTTTCCCCGAATTTGACCTAGATTCTGATGAGCGCTTGAATTATCACCACCGCCATCGCTGGACATGAATCTCGATAAAATCCGTTCCGTTTCGGGGCTTGAAACCCGAGGGTTGAAGAACGGGTCAATATCTTCGCCTTCATACGTACCACTGTTTATCAAATTCGAGAAATACGAACTCGGTGCTGATCTGTATCGCGTCAAACCAGAGTTCATGATTTGTTCCGGCGGCTGTTGCTGCTGCAACTGTTTCTGTTGCTGTTGCTGATGTTGACGATGGAGATCCGAATCCATTAAAACTCCAGAAATTGCAAATTTCCAACTACAGTCTACTAAATTTTCTTCAATACAACCTTAAAATTATTTCTTATAAACACTAGCAAGCACACAAACAAAATTAAAGTAACTTCCCAACAAGAAAACCAAAGAGAAACTTGACTCTAATTCTTCAATAGAAACTTACAACGCTTCATCAAAGGAGTAAACTCAAAGCTTCGCTATCGGTCCCAATACAAAACTATAACAATATCGAAAATTTGAAACAAAGATATGCAGAAGAATAGCTTTGGGACGATGATAAATGGTGAACGAAAATATCACATAGATTCACATTTAATGAAATTGGTGAAAGCAAATATACTGGCAGAGGTTTGAAGATGACAGTGGAAATAGGAGGAAGAAGAAAGCAGCCATTTTTAGATCTTCCCTTTTTCCTGTTTTGTTGGTGTGAGTGCGTTGCAGCCTACAGGAACAAAAAGCTGCTTTCACATTTAATTTACCATATTGCCATTTCACCTGATCATTTATGTTTTACATTTTAATTTATTTTTTATTTTTCTAAAACAATTCAGGGACAATCTATTTTTCCAAACTTAGAAATGGATATTGTTATATAATTAATTTTATTTTTTTAGCTATTTTTGAATTAGATTTTTATTTTATCCCGAGTTTATATAAATTAATTATCACTTCAAGTAAAGTTTTTTTTTAAAGAACTAGAAAAATATTCGTGCAATACATCGAGATATATCTTTATTTAAGTATTTTATTTTATTCTTTTTTTTATGTTGATATAATACGATTTTATGTGGTTTTGAGAAAACGATAATGTTTTTATTTTTGAATAAAATATAAATTTGAAAATATTATAAAATTTTGAAAAAAAATATACCGATAAGTATCAAATTAACTTTTTTTAAAAGTTCTCGTGCTTTGGTGTAATTTTCTTTGTTCAATTTTTTTATTATAATCTAAATTTAGATTTAGTAACAAAGAAATTTAATTTAGGTTTAATAATATAAATTTTTATAAAGATAATAACTAAAATATTCTGTTATAATTTAATGATTATCTTAATTATATTTTAAATTTTTTATATTTAAAATAAGAAGTTTATCTTGTATTTGATTATGTTTATCTACAGTTAGTTACACGAATTCAGATATGAATATTTAATAAGTTGTACTTATGCACAATTTATTTGTAATCATAAATTTTAAGTAATATGCATTAATAAACAGTACTTCGTACATAAAAAATAGTTTTTAAGAGTTTTTGTCAAATGTTTTATAATATAGTATAGATATGAAAATCAATGTGAATGCGTAAGACATTTTTGTGTAACTAAAATAAAGATTCTAAAAAAACTGGCAAAAAAGTGAATTTAGTAATTTCTCTTCTATTTATATAGAAGTCGGATCAAATTATATGTTGAAAATGCAAATAAGTAAGTTTTTATATTAATGCATATGAGACGGAAATTCGTATACAAATGCACATTTAGCATTAAGTAGATATGTATTTAGAAACCCTTTTAAGAACAAGATTTAAAATGATATGAGACACGAGATGGTGATAAGGTTGATCTCAAGTCGTAGGAGCTGCGACAATGCTAAACATGACTTAAGGCAAAACATATGTATATCATAGATACACACACACGTATATATATTCTACTATTTCTTAATTCTATTTAGTAATTTAACGAAAAAAAGGAAATATCCTACATTGACATTATATAAAGTATATCAATTTGTTACAAAAAAGGCTCGTTACAATGTAAAAAATAAAACAAGACATTTTTAAACGAAAATTAAAAGCTAAAATATCAAATAATGCATCAAAAAACCCGGGCTATAATGCACCTCAAGACGCCGTAGTGAGCACCTGGCCTTGCACAACTGCTACATAGGTTACGTGGCATTGGTCGTTGAAGATGTATCAAAATGTCATGACACGCCTTTTAAAACCCTGTTTCAAAATTATTAGGGTTAAAGTACAATATATATTGCATCATAAGCATAACGATACCCTCACCCTGGCCTCCATGACTTTATTATCGCAATGAATTGAATTGAGTGCACGCGATGAGTTATTCCAGAGGTCTAAAAAACCTTCAATATAAAATTGTTCTGTTCTTAAAAGATAAGCAAATCAAATTATAAATTTTGATGCATTTTTTAGATTATGATCTCAAAAACCCTATATATTCCATAATTGTTTTTTTGGGTCGTGACAAAGTCAATCGAGTACCAATTTGGTATGGTCGGCAATGTCTCGTTAAAAGGGATCCATCAACACTAAGATCACAAATTATATAAAAAGACAAGTACGTCAATTTGCATTTTTCATGCATTTTCGTGATTCGCCGGAACAACTTTTCATAACCATTTTTGTCATGCTAAACTTATTGGTTACAAATTTGGCATCTCTAAAACTTTCTCACAATAAACAATTCAATCAATATAATTTTTTTTATAATCTAACTCGAAAGGTAAATGAGTACAAATTCGACTCAATTTCCATTAATGCAATCGTGTACTAATGGAGGATGAAAATGATGCTGACTCGAACTCAAAAGTACAAGTGACGATACAAACTGTACAAGTTTATAATACTCAATCATCATAATAGCTCAACTGACAAAACCTTAATTCGTTTATGAGTTTGAATTTCTTTAAATTTATCTGTTAAATTAATTTTCTAGTGGAGATATATACAAAATTATCCGAATCCATGGAACCCTAAAGAAGTTTATAATGCTCTATTTGCTTTAATTTCCATTATTAATTATTTCTTTTTATATTTTTTGAGATAATAATACAAGACACACAAGAATTATAATCGGATTTATAAAAGTAACAATAATCAATCATCTTTTTTACTTTATAAGCAAATAACAAATACAAAAAAAGCGTTCTCAAATAAGGTATGTAAAAGCCATAATTATTAAAAAAGAAAATATGGGACACGATCAATGCGCCTTTTAAACCAATTCATTGGTAGTGGTCAATGTCGTGTCACAACCGACTGAGGACTACGATGAATTTTGAGAACTTACCCTTGCATGCTGCGAAGTTTTGATGTTAAAACCGTCATATAGAGTCCAGTTTGCTAGGAGAAACAAAAATGAGATTGCCAATGAGTTTACTAGGCAATCTCGATGCTTAGTCGACCCCCTTTCAAAATTTTGACCCTCCAACTTGATTAGATATCAATGTTGTTTTGTACTGTAATGATTCGAATCATTAATCGAATTTTACTTGTTTGGTCGAAAAAAATAAAAAAATATTTCAAGAATATTTTTAAGATAAATATAGTTCAAAGATTTTTTTTTTTTGTTAACCTGAATATTCAACCCGTTATGTGAACCGATTAATTATAGGGTGACGACCTGCTTTGCAGATAGTCCAGAGTCACCACATTTGAACCTCCACGGCCACAAGAGGATTTTTATTCCTCATTGAATTTGAACCTGAAATCTCTTGGTACTTTTGATTTTGAAGCCAAACTCAAACCAATAAAAAACCCTTATGGTTAGATTTTTTACGTTTGTTGTTGTTTGTTAAATAATGATGACGTCACCGTAACCGATGATCTAACGTCATGGACCATTCAAAGCCCATGCCACATGGTTCTTTGCTCAACATATAAAATGATGTCGGTTATTCCTTCACCATGTTCTTCATCTTCCCCCAAAATTCACAGTGAAACCCTACGATTCTGAATTGATATGGAACACGAATCGCTTCAGATCACTTGGTAATGTTGGGGGTAAGATCTCTCGTCACATCTCGTTTATTTGATTTTATCTATTCTTTTGATTCGTTAGATTTTGTTATTTGAGGTTAACTTAACATTCGCATGCGAACAGTAGTAGGATCAATGCTTATGATCACACATTAATATGACTCATATCATTGGATGCAGATTCTTGATTACGGATAGTTATGTTCTCATTTTATCATAATTTTGACTGTCACTTAGTAAAAATAAATATTCGTTAGTGTACTAGCGACTGTTGCTTGAATACTTTGAGTTAGCATTATACTGGAGCCGTTTAGCTCTTTTTTTTCTTCCTGGTAATGGTGGTATGGTATCGAGTATCGACCTTCACCATTTTCAAGTGATAACACCGATGTGGCTCAAGTTTCCCTAACTAAAATACCCAAGCTAGCTTTTTTCTTATTATTTTGGTGTTGAATTTCTGACCTAATCGACATCAATTTGCATTTAAACTGTACGAGGTTTGACATAGCTGTTGTTTTATAATTGAAATGGAATGATTTTATTTTTTTGGTAACTAAATGCTGATTAACTAATTTCATGTGTTTTCAATTAGGAAACATAGTTGAAATTTATTAAAATTCAGTTGGATGTATCTATATTTTCGATTCAGGTCATTACTGAAAGATCATGGAACGCAAATTCACCTATCTATTAGGGCTAGAGGAGCACAAATTGTCCTAGAGTGTCGAGTCCATAGACCGGTAGAACTTGGTCCTTGGCTTTGATACTATGTAAGATTATAGAACGTCATTAGATTACTCTCCAAAAGAAACTTTAAGTAAAAAATGATCCATTATATATAGAAGAGAAACAGTCCCAAGTCTAGTCGATGTAGGACTTTAAAAGGGACTATGCCACATCTATGGAGTTTGGAACTGGCACATCGAGCAGTTGTCATTCTAAGGTATCAAAGGAGTTAGTGGATGCTAAATGTTCGTGTATAATAGTATAAGATGCAGAAACCATCCAACGATTTTAAAGATCCTGTCCCAACTTACTTGTGAAAATATGTCCAAGCTATTAAGAGAGAGGAGTCTAGGAAAGAGAAATCATGCTATAATTGTACTGCAAGCATGAAAAACAAGTCTATTTAGTTGTTTGTTTTCGTTACAGATTGCAATTATTCTTTTCTACATGGGATGTTTTAGCTTGACCTGTATAAAGATGCCTAGATGCCAATTTCAGTACTTATCAGGCCTTATTTTTTGGTTCTCTCTACAGATGATACATCTTTCTGTTAGAATGTTAGAGCTCATGCTAGTTTCTTAGAAGATATCATTACTTTTCATAATCTGGAAATGGCTAAGGGATATACCTAATTAGTGTCATCAAAGCCTAAACATGTTACCACTTTTTCTGTTTCATTAATCTAGCATGTCAAATAGCGAAACTCCATGATTCAAATTAATTTTGTGCAATGTCAATGTCAGTATTGTACCAGCATCTGTACAAGCTTACCAACTTCATCTATCTAGTATAAAGATTAGTTACATATTCCACGAGTGTTGGTTGGTAGTAACTAGTGTGGAGTTGAGAGATGGATGCAGGGGATTGAGTCTCCTGATCTGCCTATGGCAAGAGAATAAGCACCAACTAGGGAGGTAATAAATAAGCCTAGGTATTATGGAAAAGGTCATGAGCAAAAGGATCAACATTCAAAAGGTCGATCATACCAAACCAAAAATATCCCACCCGTAGTTGGGGTCACATCCCGGGTCTGGGGATGTGAGATGTAAGCAGACATGACCTCTACTAATAAGAGTAAAGTGGCTATTTTCTTACGGCTTATGAGAAATGTGTACAGACTAATATCTTTGCATTTCACTCTCTGAAAAGTAAAAAAAATAAGTATTAAGATGCTCTAATTGCCTCTGTGCTTTGCAAATTGCAATTGCAACTGCGTGGGCTTGGATTATTAGTATGGGACTATGGGCTTGGGCCCTGCTACCCTTTTGTGGCTAATTTCTGGGTCTTCTGGCATTCAAACCTTCACTGGTGTAACAGTGGCATTAGTTATCTTCTTGATGTAAAGAATTATGGTTGGTCATGTACACAATTAACTCTCATGATAGTGCTTCGTTTTATGGCCATTTTTCAATTTTTCTTGCTCTTTTTGCAGAAACTCCACAATACAATGCCATCATTGCGAGATTGCTGATGAACTATGTCATCTATGTGGTTAAATCATGTTAGGTAAATGTTCTTTAGAATTACTATAACTTTGGTTGTAAACGAACACGAACGAACACGAATGGAAGCTTGTTCGTGTGTCGTTCGTTTAACTTAATCGAACAAACGAATAAACTTGAATGGTAAACGAACAGGATCTTTTGTATTCTTGTTCGTTCGTTAAGAAAATGTGTTTGTTCATGTTTGTTTGTTAAGATGCTAAACAAACGAAATTTTGTGTGTTCATATTTGGTTGTTAAGAAAAATGTGTTTGTTCGTTTTTGTTTATTAAGATGTTAGACGAACATATACGAATGAACTTAAAGACACAAGTGAACATGAACAAACAAACACAAATTAACAAAAAACAACCACTATTACTTATCATTTCCTACCTAAGGATAAGATGACATAATGTAAAAAGGGGTAAATTTAGAGGAAATAAAAAAAGAATTCTAAAAAACTTAATTTAATTAATGATTTTATATATTAACGTCATAATACATGAACATATTTATATGTGAACGAACATAAACAAACAAACGTAAATAAACATAAATGAACAAACGTTCATGAACATAAATGAACGAACATGGTCATTGTTCACGTTCATTTATTTAACTAAACGAACAAAAAAAATATGTTAATGTTCGTTAATAAACGAACATAAACGAAATTTCTGTCAAATGTTTGGTTTGGTGACACCCTAACTGTATATCACCATGCATGAAACACTTTATCCAAGGTCCTCGCAATTCGCGTGGTAGGAAACTTACTTTACAGTGACATTTTTCACTGTTCTTTTATTTGAATTACTTTGAAACTGATTGGGCAAACCTTGCTTAGATACACATTGTATGTAGGGATGAAAATGAGGCGGGTATTTGACAGGTAATTCATCTCTTGTTTCTGACCCCGTTTAAGCCTCCATCCCCGCCCCGCCCCGCCTAATACCCCATAGGTTCAGGGGAAGGAATCCTCGGTGGGTTTGAGGTACCCGTTGGACATCCATTTAATAAAAGAACAATAAAAACAATGTATTTTAAAATTAAAATTATAATGAATTTTCACTAGATTAATTATCAATATTCAAATTGTCCTTGAATAATAAATGTGTATATATATATATATATATATATATATATATATATATATAGAGGGTGGTTCAAATACTAACCCAATATTTTGTGCAAACTTTGCTAACCCACATCAACCAATAATGTTGCATCTTTGGGTTTGGTTAAAATGTAACCTACATATTAATGATAAAGGTATTTAGGTCATTAGTCATTCTTATGTAACTCCCAAATATTTTAATTGGGAGTTACAAATCCTACAATATCTCAAATTGATCTTCATCTAATAATGACATGAAGATTCAAATATGTTCATCTTATTGACAACTAATTCACATATGAAACCACCTACAACGAACATCATGCAC